AATAAGGAAAAACAACGACAGAGGTGATGAACTTCACGCCAAATTAATAATTCCATACTTCACATTTCAACAAGGCTGTAACATGTAAATATAATTTTCTTTTCTCTGTATATTGTGTAGCTGTTAAAAACCTCTGCTACTGACCTAACTTTGAATCCTGTGGCCCTGCCATTTTCTGACTGTGATCTGGCTGGAGTAGTTTTAGTTAACCTCTGCAGTTTTGGTTTCCTTATACTCAAAATGGTACTAATAATAGTATCTGCTTCGGCCGGGTGCGGTAGCTCATGCCTGTAATCCCAGCACTTTGGGAGGCCGAGGCGGGCGGATCACGAGGTCAGGAAATCAAGACCATCCTGGCTAACATAGTGAAACCCTGTCTCTACTAAAAATACAAAAAGTAGCTGGGCGTGGTGGCGGGTGCCTGTACTCCCAGCTACTCGAGAGGCTGAGGCAGGATAATGGCATGAACCCTGGAGGTGGAGCTTGCAGTGAGCCGAGATTATGCCACTGCACCCCAGTCTGGGCAACAGTGTAAGACTCTGTCTCAAAAGGAAAAAATAATAATAATAATAGTACCTGCTTCATATGTTTGTTATTAGGATTACATGAGGTAGTAGTTGTAAAGCACTTAGCAAATTTTGGCACATAAGAAGGCCTTAACAAATGTCAGCTATCATTATCATTACAGGGTAGAGAAGCTAAAATGATTTTAAATGACGTGCTTTAATTTATAGCCCTGCCCTCAAAACCTTTGTTCCTAATTTTCAATTAGGATATAAGCCTTGTGAAAACAAAGACCTCCTCTGCTTGCTTCTCTGTTGTCCTCAGCACCTAGAACAATTTTTAGCACATAGTAGATGCCTAATAAATATTTGGCGAATTAATGAATTCTAGGGACATTTTCTCTGAATAACATCTAGGTTTAGATACTTCAGCTACTTGAATCTTTTTTTTTTCTTTACTGTTGTTTATATGAATTTGCACTTGAAAAATAGTTTTTATGTTGTGTATTTGATCTTTTCAGGTATCCTTGTTTCCTTCTACATTGTAAGTCTCCAAGAGTGGGAGACTGTGATCTCTCCTATGGGAATCTCCCTATAGCTTCTAGTATGGTATTTCTTTTTTTAAATACAGTTATTAGTGCTTAGTAATTACTGACAACTGACTGTAAAATTCACTTGTATTCAACATTAATTTTTTGAGCAAAAACTAGTATGTGCAGTGGTGTCATTTCCAACTCTTAAGAAGTTGTGAATTTGTAGGTGCAGGTGCAGTCTTTGGTGGCAAGAGACACCTTATTACTATTGTAAATGTTGATCTTTGCACTTGAAATAGCCCTCTCCTTCCTCCCTGTCCCTTTCTACCAGATGACATACCACTCATTCTTCAGGGCTCAGTATCCTGTCAAGTCTTTCTTCCTTTATGTAAGTCTTTCTTCCTCTTTATGTAAATCTCTTCATGGAAGAAGTAGATAACTTTTGCAAATGTTTTTTTTTTGAGACAGACTCGCTCTGTCGCCCAGGCTGGAGTGCAGTGGCCGGATCTCAGCTCGCTGCAAGCTCCGCCTCCCGAGTTTACACCATTCTCCTGCCTCAGCCTCCCAAGTAGCTGGGACTACAGACGCCCGCCACCTCGCCCGGCTAGTTTTATGTATTTTTTAGTAGAGACGGGGTTTCACCGTGTTAGCAAGGATGGTCTCTATCTCCTGACCTCGTGATCCGCCCGTCTCAGCCTCCCCAAGTGCTGGGATTACAGGCTTGAGCCACTGCGCCCGGCCCAAATGGGGTGATTTTGAGGGACGACATTCCACACTGATAGAAGAGCTGATGCAAAGACATGGTAGGAAAGGGCCAGGTGTTACGGGAATATGATAGTAGATATTATATGTTATCTTATTTGTCATGGCTCTTATTAATAGGGGCAAACAAGAGAGTCCATTCTAGCAAGTTTAAGCAAAACAGATTTATTAAAGAATATCAGAGAGATTTAGGAATCTTTGGGAGAATTGAAGAAATGGACCCAGGCTGGGCTTCCAGGAACAAACTCCCCAAACTACATTAAATAACTGAGTCCTCAAGGATGTTGCTCTTTGCCAGAATCAGGAACCTGTTGCTACAGTTGCTAGATAGTGAGCTATGCTGCTGCTGCTGCAGTTTGTTCCAACAAAAGGGATGTTCTGTGCCAGTCTCTCCCATCATCCAATTTAGTTCCAATCAGTATCTAGTCTGAGAGCATCTGATTGGCAGAACCTAAATCACATTTAGAAGGAAATCTGAGAAGTAATGTTTTTTTGTTTTCGACCTCTGTAGTGCCTGCTAAGCTAGAAAGGAGTTGGAATACGTGTTGAGCAAAGCGGTGTACACATTGCGCCCTAGAGAATATTCAGGTGGCTGTATCCTCTTCTAGTACCAAATTGTGTATCATTTGGAGTTCTGTAAACAGAAATTCTGACTCAAATTTGGCTGAAATCATGTTGAAGTTTTTACCATACTTGTGTTACCTTTATCCACAAGCTGGCTTCCATCATGGTAGTAAATTGACTGACAAGACCAGCTGGGGAGATAAGCTTTTTTATTCACCAGTGGATGAGAGAGAAAGGGAGAGAGATTGACTGACTTTATTTCACAAAATGGGCACAAATTTCTTCTCCTCAGTCAAATTGAATCAATATAGACCACCTGCCCATCCCTGAACTACAAGAGTTTCTAGGGACATGCCAGGTGCTGATTGAGTAAACCTAAATCTGATTCAAGAACTAATCACTGGCAAGGAGAATGGAATTACCATGTTTGGTTTGGATGTACAATCAGGACCTACTCTTGGAGCTAGGAATGGGGTCAGCTTTCTTTGAGGACAGTGGTTCTCAAAGTGTTGTGTTCTGGGAACTTGCTAAAAATGCAAATTCTGGAGCCACATCTCAGGCTTACGAATCAAAAACTCTGGGTGTGGGACCCAGGAATCTGTGTTTTAACAGGCCCTCCAGATGATTTTGGTTTCTTGCTAAAATTTGAGAACTGCCTTAGAAACTGTTTGATGAGGGATGAACACCTGATAGAAAAAAGGTCTGGGCTCTGTTAGGAAGGGAGAAGAAGGGAATGGATGCTGGGTAGGCAGCCAACAGCATCCATTTCAAAACTGGAAAGATGGATAGGGACCAGTTCGTGAGGAATCTTGAATGTCTAGCTCACAAGGTGGTGGTTGTTGTGAGATATAAAACTGGACAATGTGTGTCTGAGGGACCTGTACAACGAAGGAGATAGGTTATAATACGGATAGAGTATATTGAACTTGGAGCCAGAGTTTGGATTCTCATCCTGGTCTTTTTTACCTCATTGAGTTTCAGACTCCCCTTCTGTAAAATAGGGAATATAACCACTGGGGTGTTAAGACAATTAAATGAACAAATATATGTGGAAGTACCTAGTTCATAATGTAGCATATTAATAGGTAAAGATCTAGAGAATATGAATGTTGATACTTGGCTAAAGTAGTATGAATTTTATTTATTTATTTATTTATTTAGTTTTTTGAGACAAGGTCTTGCTCTGTCACATAGGCTGGAGTACAGTAGCCTGATTATAGCTCACTGCAACTTCAGCCTCCTACCTCAGCCTGCCAAGTAGCTGGGACTACAGGCACCAGCCACCATACCCAGTTAATTTTTTTGTATTTTTTTGAAGAGATGGGGTTTCGCCATATTGCCAAGGCTGGTCTTGAACTCCTGAGTTCAAGCAGTCCTCCTGCTTCAGCCTCCCAAAGTGCTGAGATTACAGGTGTGAGCCACTGCACCCAGCCTGGTGTTGGAACTTTGATCATATTCAGATCAGCTCTGGTTTAACTGCATGAACATGGGTTCTGCCTCTGCAGTCTTACCCTGGGGCATTATATGAATTATTTACTTCGACTGTTAAACAGGGATAGTGCAGTTCCTTTTGCTCTTGTAACTAATATGTATTCAGCTTGCTGTGACCATACATATTTTATATTCTTCCCTGGCACTATAATTCATTCCTTTTTATTTTCTTCTGTGAGGTAATTAAAATTTGTAATACCATGCCCTTTTCCCTCTTGTTTTTTGTTTTGTTTTGTTTTTTTAAAAAATATATCTCACATTTTCTAAATATAGAATACTTACAAGTTCGTGTTAAGTTTTAGTGGGAAAAGTGTTTAGAATCGGTTTGGACTCGCTCCCTTGCTTTATATATAAAGAAACTAGGGCAGACAGGGAAATAATTTTTCCAAAAAAAATTGTTTTTTGAGACTGAGTTTTGCTCTTTTCGCCCAGGCTGGAATGCAATAGTGCGATCTCAGCTCACTGAAACCTCCGCCTCCTGGGTTCAAGCGATTCTCCTGCCTCAGCCTCCCAAGTAGCTGGGACTATAGGCGTGCACCATACACCTGGCTAATTTTTGTATTTTTAGTAGAGATGGGGTTTTACCATATTGGCCAGGCTAATCTCGAACTCTTGACCTCAGGCGATCTGCTTGCCTCGGCCTCCCAAAGTGCTGGGATTATAGGCCTGAGCCACCACACCTGGCCTCCAAAATCTTATATATCCCATTTCTTCCTTCTTGGCATGGAAGAATTTACATCCAGGGCTTTCATTTTTTTGTTCTGTAATATTAGTCAAAAGTCATTTGTAGATTGTTTAGATCTGGTGGGATTTAGTTAAAGTCATAAGCCTGATTTGCTGTAAGTGAGGCAGAGCTGATGTGCCAACCTAGGAAGAGAGAAAGCTAGTGAATAGAAGTGTTAGGGATCCACTAAGAAGTGTTCTATCTTAGATCCTACCATGGACATACTCTTTACTCCTACTTGGTATGTTATTAGATGTGCCAACACTGTTATTAGGTGGCTTATGGCTTTTTCTTTGTTTATATCTAGGGTGTTTGAGGAAGGTAAATATGCATTTGAATGGGTAATTTCTACTCTTTGGTGCTGAGCATTTTCCACCTTTGTCTATACTGTAAATAACCAGTCTTTTTTTTTTTTTCTTTTAGAAAGTTACTGCTTGAGTGGCAAGGAAACTAGAGAAACTGCTTCTCATAGACTAGTTGGGTTACTGGCTGAAGGGGACCCTAGGAGATGTCTAATTCAACATCCTTATTTTATGGATGAGAAACTGAAGCCAAGAGAAGAAAAGCAGCGCATTCAATATTATATAATGTAAGTTAGTTACAGAGTCAAGACCACATCTCAGCACTTCTGACTCCCTATTAAGTATATTTTCACAACCTCTCTGCAAGGCAAGTATAAGAGGAATTGTGGGGTAGTGTAAAGAGTGCAGATTTGAGGGCCTGAAATCTGAGTACAAACTGTGGCTCTGCCACTTACTGACCTGTTTCTCAGAAAGTAATATCACTTCCTTAGGCACCAGTTTCCTATTTGTAAAATGAAATTATGTTGATACTCTGCCTCACAGGGTTATCATTAGAATGAAATATGAGTTGCAGGGGAAAAAATGAAATGAAGACTTCAAAGTGGACGTGGCCAATTTACTTATGAATTTTAGCTCCATCACTTATTAACTGTGTGATTTTGGGCAAGTCACTTAATTTCGGTGAACCTAGTCTTTTCTTTGTAAAATTGAGACAATAATAGCTCTCTTACGGGGTTGTTTTGAGGACGCTAATACATATAAATATAGGGGAAAAGAAATATTTTTCCCATTGCTATGTTCATGGCTGAGGCTCCTGTAACAAAAGACATTAACAAGAGAAAAGCATACAAATATATTTAATACAAGTTTTACATGACATGGGAGTCTTCCTAAGGAAATGAAGACGCAAAGAAACAGGCAAACTTGTGTATTTTTAGGTTTAGGTTTGATGGAAGAAGTGGGTAGTCATGGAGAAATATGATTGGACAAAGATGGTATGATGTAATGGTAATAAATAGGATCAGGGTTGGAGGGAGCTTAGCAAGGCCGGTTTGTTCAGATTTTTCTGTATGTCCCTGTGTTTTCAGAGGAAAATGAGCCTTTCCTCTGGAAATAAGGAGGGTACCTCTTGAATGAGGATCTGATGACCTGCTTCAGGGGAGAAGGGTGAGGAGAAGCTGGGAGTGAGAATACTTTCCTGTGTCTGCTGTTTTCTCATATGCTAAGATATAAAGCATTCAAAGTAGTGGCTGGAACATAATAGGTAGTCAATAAATATTTGAGATATTCTCAGAAGACTTAGTTCTATCTTCTCAGAACTGTTTCCCTAAAGTCTTAAAATAAATATATCAGAACTTCTTGTTCTGTGGTTTTAAAGTGTTTTGTGGAGTTTGATTCCAGAGGCTATAGGTGGTGTAAGGTATGAGCTTTGCTGTTAGTCAGATTTCCATTCTAAACTCCTGTGGCACATAGGCAAGCTCTTTTGCCCAGAGAAGGGCCTCTAGAGATGGCAGGTTTTGTGGTAAATGGATTGAAAAAGAGGAGGAGGAAACTTGGTAACTGGGAAACTTGGGTCACTTCTGCAGGCAGTTGCAGCCCACTGTATAGCAGTATGTCAGGACCTTAGTGGTGAAACCATTTTTTGTTGTGATCTCAGTCTCTGATATTCTCGGTGTCTCAAAAGCTGGAACCAAGTCTGAGTCCTCTGCTGCTTCAACACCTGACCCACAGTAGATATGCCAATATAGTTTTTTGAAGGAATATCTATGTAGAGTGGAGAACTTCTGTGGCCCATGGAGTTCCATAAATCCCTAATGGCTCCTAATTCTTCATCCCAGCTTCACCTTGCAGAGATATTTGTATTTAACAAGGCTTTTCTAGTCTTTAATCATAAGGATTTGCAGGATTTCAGGTCTTGGGTTTTTTAGGCCTTGCTCTGCTGCCTACTTCCCTTTGCAAATATGGTCAGGCCAGACAGCTATTTCCTTCATCCCCAGTCACTGTGTGGGACCTGCCAGGTTCTTTCAGGTTTTTAATGCTGGGGTGGGGCTTGTGGTTTTAATGCATGAGAGTTGGGGAACATGAAACTCACATGATCAGGCAAACATCATTCTCTCAGTGGGTCCAGGGTTATGAGAAAACATAATGCTGGGATGTTCTTTCTTCCCAACTCTACCCCTAGAGTTGATACTCTTATGTAAGCCATTAATTCAGTAAATACCTTCTGAGCATATATACTGTGGATCAGACATTCTGCTGGGTGCTTTAAATAATTATCTTTCCAAATACTCACAAGTTAATACTTTCAGTTAGACTGAGGGTATTGCCTTCAATTTCACAGAAAAGGAGTCTGAAGTTTAGATGAAAGGAAATTACTTGCCTTAGCTAGTAAGGGCAGACCCAGGCTTTGAAACCAAGTCTTCATGACTGAAAGATAATCATCAATTGTCATGCTTGTCTATGCTGTCAGAATGGGAGCTCCTTGAAGATGCATGTATGTCTGATTTGAATCTGTGCTCCCTGTTCTCAGCACAGGGCTGAAACAGATTTTTTTTAAAAAAATTGAATATGTAATACATTGGAAAGTCCTAGATGGAATAGGGCAATTGGGGTGACGGTATTGAGAAACTGTTTCCTAGTCCACATTATTTCCCTGGAGAAGCTCGAGTCCTTAAGGTGATTTTTTTTTTTTTTTTTTTTTTTAAACCTATGGGATTGGAAAGGAAAGGATTAAGCATTATTAATTCCAGCAACCCATAAGGAAAACTAACACAAACATTGTAATGCCTTAAGGATCTTTGTGTCTCATTGGGAAAATAACACCTCCTTCACTGTGTTATTTTGAGGAAAAGTGAGATAATACAAGTAAAAGAGTCTGCCTGAACTCTAACGTGTTATGTTAAGTTGTTTTCATGCCTGGCTTTACCTGCCCTATCCCCTTTCTGGGCTTCAGTTTCTGTATGTGTACAGTGAGATGTTGAACTGAATGGTCTTGCTGCTCTTCCTTCCTTCATTAACATAAGAACAGGTAGTTGATGCCTCTGATGTTCTTATTGTTTCCATTGCCCATTTCTCCTTAAGCCCACTGCCTAGTTTCCTTTAAAGTTGTTGCCTGCTTTAGTTTTCTTTTTAAGCTGTTTCTGTGTGGGCTAGTGTTCCCTTTTGAGGTTGAATTGAATTGTGTAAGGCCTCAGGAAGTGGTGGAAGCACCTTCCTCAAACCTGGTTGCACCAAAGGCCCATCAAGTCAAGTCTTGTCCCCAAAGAGGAAGAGAAAGCCTGGGGTTCTTAGCCCAGGCTAAGATCGAAGGAGTTTCTCTTGAGCTTTCTGGGTTAATTTCAAAACTTACAGAAGGGACATTTTCTTTTAAATTTCAAGCACTCATTCTGTATATCATTAATATTCCTTAGCCATTTTTGTATAATATCATTCTTTAATTTCTATCCACCTTCTTTAATCTGTCCCTTGGATCAGACAAAATGAATTCAACCTTTGCTGCACATGACAATTCTTTATAATCATAATAGTGATTTTATTACTGTTCTTCTCCAGCTGAATAGTTTCAAGAGTTTCTCAGATAACTACCTCTTTTTGCCTATTACACCACTTTTCTCTCCACAAAAAACTTCCCAAGGATAGTCTCTTCCTCATGCTAATCTTACTTCTGTTTCTGTATAGCCTATCACTTCTTTGTAAGTTTTCACACTATTACTGAAATATGCCAAACATTCTTTCTCATGTTCCCTTAACTTGTATCTCGTAGCTTTTTGTTTGTTTAACATGTTTTCCTTTGTTTGCTGTACTTACACTCAACAACCTTCAAGACCCACTTCAAATATCTCTGTCTCTGATGCCTTCTCTGACATTGTCCTCCTGTCCTAGGCAGAATTAATATTTCTTCCTTCAGTGTTCATGTGTTACTCTATTCTAATAGCTGTGACATCATTTATTATATTATACTTGTTTGTACAGTGTTACATTTTGTGTTGTACTATATTGTAATTACTTTGTGTATTCTGCCTCTCCTTAAACACTTCTTCAAAACAACCATTCCAAGGTTAGAAATACGTAGCAAATAGTAGGTGGTCAATACAAGAGGAAAGTACCATGCATTGAGTGCCTTACTGCTGTGCAAGTTGCCTAATAAATATTCCCAATCCTCACAACAGGTCTCTGACATATTTTCCCATTTTTTCCCATATGAGTCTCCCATTTTACATATAAGGTAATTGAGGCCCAGAGAGATTAAATGATTAATTTCTGATCTCACAGCTGGTAACTCAGAGAATTGAGATTCAAACCCAAGTTTGGTGACTCCACAGCTTGAGTTGTATTTGGAACTATTCTTCTGACTCCTAATTCAGTATTCTTTCTGTGCACATCAAAAACACACAAATTGAGTATGTAGATGTGTTTAATGCAGTGATGGACAAGAGTTCAAATGGGAGTATGGTGGAATGGGTAGCAAATAGCTGTGGTACTCTCATAATTGTGTATTAAGAAATAGCCCTAGAGTTATTAATGCCTTAATTGCAACTGTAGGCAATTACAATTCTGTAATTTGGCATTTAAAAATGAGTCTATTTCGGCTGGGCACAGTGTCTCACACCTGTAATCCCAGCAGTTTGGGAGGCCAAGGTGGGCGGATCACCTGAGATCAGGAATTCCAGACCAGCCTGGCCAACATGGTGAAACCCCCGTCTCTACTAAAAATACAAAAATTAGCCGGGCGAGGTGGCGGACACCTGTAATCCTAGCTACTTGGGAGGCTGAAGCAGGAGAATTGCTTGAACCTGGAAGGCGGAAGTTGCAGTGAGCTGAGATTGTGCCACTGCACTCCAGCCTAGGCGCGAGACTTCCCCTGAAAAAAAAAAAAAAGAGAGAATCTGTTTCAGCTGGTTAGCAGATATAACAACACCTACCTTTGGACATGTTCTGTTCTAAAAAGGGATGAAAAGCTGCTTCTCTCACACTACCACGGGCAAGGTAGATGAGCTCAGCTTTGACTTGAAACAGTGTTAGTGCTTGTGAAATCTTTCGCCTCCAAGTTTTGTCCTATTTTTGTTAGGTGCTGTTAACCTACCTTTCAGAGCTATAGAATCAGACAATGAGAATAATGGGATTCTTACCCCAACTGTTTGAACAGGTTCTCACCAGGGAGAGCCCAAACACAAAGGACCTCTCTGGAGTTGGTAAAGAAGGCCAAAATGTAGACCCTGGGAAACACCTCTCTCTCCTTGTTTTGTGGCATGGGCTGCTGATTCATCCTATGTTCTTTTAAGTTGAC